AGCATTCAGGGAGGCAGCGTGCTCAGACTTGTGTCTGGTGTCAGTTTACGGGAATCAACAAAATGAGGAGAACAGAATACCTGCTTGACTCCCAGTCGAGGAGGAGAAAGTGTTTGTGCATGTTATTGGAATTGTCTCGAGAGACAACAAAACCAGACCCACTCTACGTTTAGAGCAGTGTGGGATTTCTGCCTTGCCACTATGATTTGATGGCATGAGCCCAGAAAAAAATCTGAATTGGTTTTGATAAAACACAGGATTAGAAGGAGGAAGTAAAGCTGCTGTTAATTCTGGTACTTTAAAATCACTCCGAGGGGAGATTAATCATTCACTCCATATCAGATGTTTGAGCTAGCGCCAGGTATGACTGAATCCCACAACTCTGATTACAGAAAGGAGACTGATGACAGGGCAGAGGAGACAGAGTTGAGCTCAAAGAGTCTGAGCAGCTTTCAACACCCAGCTTATAACGAATCAAAACAAGATTTTGCTTGTGGCCCGAAAACACCAGCACAACGACCAAATCAGTCATGCTGCTCATGACTGAACGAACACAGAGACAAACTCACTCACACTGGAGGAGGATGTAGAAGGAGGTACCTCTGTTATGACCTCTGCAGCTGTAGTTATCTCAGAGGAGGAAGAAGAAGCCCCTGATGTTTACTCAGCAGCAGTCCTGTCAGTGGATGAGGAAGATGAGGTCCTGGTGCAGTTAGATTAAGGTTGTTAGATTATAAGATAATATAATGATTATATACAATGATTATAAGGAAATACAATTACTGTTATAAGCTGGAAGACATCACATGGGTATTATATGCAGATACATTCACAACCAATACAATTGCATTTTTGTACTAATACGCAAAACATCCAATCTTCAACGTACATCCGTATATGATCTAAATAGAACAACTGTTTGGGCCAATTTGGAAATGTAACATATTACACATTGAAAATCACTTTTCACACTTAATGTTGCAACAAAACAAAGTCAAATCAAATGTGTCTATGCTGTATGATTTTTTTGGGAAAATATTATTTTTGCTAGAAAGAAGTGAAATTGAATTAACAAACAATGGAGATAGATCAATGTGTGCCGGTAAAGCTTTTATTTTAAAAGTCTCACTGTTTCTGTATCTGCCATCCTGGTAGACACTGACTGATCCGTCCTCACACACATCCGTCCTTTGACCTGAATTTTGCCTCATCAGGTCACAGTGAAACGCTGACCCACATCCAGCTGTGCTCAGGCCTCTCAACCTCTGTCCCTTTGCCAGTTTCCTCCTCTCGTCCTTGCCCTGCCTACAGGAAGGACAAGCACAGGAAGCAAAGTGGAAGGGGAGGTGAATCAGATGCTGGCAAGTGTAGAGATTATCAGTTTCTTGTTTCTCGACTTCTGAATCATGTCAGATATTTTCAACGACTCCAGTTGGTCTGGAAAATGGCCCCGCTCCATCTGGAAATTTATATGTTGAACTTGATAGCAGCTGAGAAGCAACATTTTCCTTTATTTAGAGCAGAGTTTGTTTCCACTTCTAAGAACCCTCTTCTTTAAGCTCTGGTTTTAGTCCCTACCACCTTCTGAGGGCAATAGTGACCCTTTAGCTGCAAGACTATGTTCACCAGCTGTTTCTGTGTCTGTCGGCTGCTTAGCAGGTAGTAATCAGAGGGAGGGAAACAAGAAAATGGATTTTAATATTATACTTTGTTGGCATGCATGTGACACTCACAGACATAATAGAGGTATCTGTATCTGTATCTCAATGTTTTGGTCATCATTTGGAAGTTATTCCAGATGCTTGGCTTTTTTATGTCTTGCTGTGTAGTTGTTTTAACTTGTAAGCCTGTTACATGAGGTGCTGTCAAACATGCACTAAACTCCGGACAATTATTCAGAGAGTCTCAATGTGGGAGCGTAAAAGTCAGAGTCAGTTGCTGAGGAATTCATCCAGAGTTTTCCTGCCAGCCCCTAAGTTAAAGCTCTGGAGAATGTCCGAATAACCCATGTGTGAACACAGAGGGTGATTATCCAGAGGGTTCAGTGGGCGAGTTCATGATGTTTTTAACATGTGACAGATGCAAACTTAAGAAAACAAAAAAGGACCACACATATATCAGGATTAAAAAGTGGAGCCATACACGTGGAAGATACAGATCAATATGTCAACTTGAGAGAAGAAGGAGATTTGAGAGGTTTTGGTGGTAAGAGCAGACACCAGTGTCAATGTGCTGTAAACTCCAACACAAGAATGTATATAGTACATTCTGTCTCCTGCATGCCCCACTGGAGATTGTTTTTGTTGTGGTAGCCAACTCCAGAGAAAGACCAGACTCCATTGGACTAAAGTCACGTGTCACTGTTCCACTGTCACATGCCACCAAACCGTCACGTAGAAAATTTCCTGATCTAAAAAAAAAAACCCAATAACAGTTAATCTTGATGCATGATGGTTAATGTTGGATTTGCCTACTGTATCTCTGATTTGGGCATGGATTAGCATAGTAATCGTGAACCCTCATAGTATTTGGTTTAGCCCAAATTTTTTGTTTACTTGCCATACAGATATTTACTCACGTCTACAATATGATAAAATGTTTCACGTGCTCTGTGGACTTAGGTTTTAGATCTCCCACTATGGATTATACTAAAACCAGAAGCAATAAAAGATAAAAAAACAAAAAACAACAGTGATGAGGAAGAGTGAAAGGCTGCAGCAGATGAACAGTAATGGCATTTAGACCAAACTACTCAGTGTGTTAAATCTTATCATTAGTCAATAGTTTTTGTCCCTGAATCGTTCTCAAAAGTGGAAAAAACCAAAGTGGAGCTGAGACAAAGATGAGCTTCAGATTTTCCTCGCTGTTAACGACTGATGGAAATCTGTGATGAAAACACAGGAGGGACGAGGAGTCAGAGAGAGGGTGACACTGCAGCTTGTAAATGTGTGTGAACTGGACCTGAGAAGGTACAAAAACAAAAGCTTGATCCATGATGATGCTGAGGGTCAAAGGTCACAGCCAGTTCTATCTACATTCACCCCTCGATTAGAGAAAGTGGGTTGACAGACGGTGGCTAGGAGCCATTAGGGAAATATGAGTGACCCTGAAGCCAAGTGCTAGTTACTCAATACCTGAGCAGCCACATGGAGCTTATTGACCAGCCTGCACAGAGCCAGTTTGAGTAAGAAGTTAGAGTTGTGAGAGAATATGATCAAAACAATGACAACAGTAATAATATGATGAGATAAAACAGTGATATACTTGTAGGTAAATTAAATTATAGTGACAGCAGCAAGTGATATTCAACAGGATACTGTGTTTCCATGTGGAAAAAATGTACATGATTCACAAACTCCAAACCACAGCCACAAAAAAATAAATACAGAAATGAAAGTCTTTCTGATTCACTTGAATGGTCTCAATTTAAAAAATCGATGTTTTTACACATCACAGAGCTAGCTTATTTTGCTAGATGAAGAAACGGGTGGGGGATGTAGTCCTTAGTTCTAATAACCAGAAATGACATTTATCTGAATAAAAAACAACCCAAAAATTGCTGTAGGATGTTCAATGGCACAAACAATGCTCTGTGCCATGTCACCACTCATATCTGAGGTGAGGCACCAGCATTACAAACAGTCAGTGAAGCTATGAATCAGGGCGTGTTCACGTCTGGCTCGTCGCTTGTGGATGAAGAAAGATTCGCAGTGTTTGTAATAAATACAGTGATGTCATGCTGACACGAGGTGAAGCGCACGTGTGTTTATCCTGCAGATAAACAGCCTGTGTCGTTTCTCCCCTGAGGCCCAGCAGATGTTCCTCTGGCCCGGATCTCCACCTCTTCACGACTTTACAGGCTCTTTTTTCCGAGACACGGCGATGACTCAGAAATTTTTGTTTCGACAAATGTTTTTCATTTAAGGTTTCACTGTTTCCTGACCACCAGCGATGAAAGAAGTCATCTGTTGGGCGGTACCACAGTGGAAAAGTCATAAAGGACCTTTGCAAGCTTTCAGGGATTTTCTGTCTATTTGGTTTTTGTCTCTTTGTCTCTGAGCAAAGCAGCAAACAAACAATGATCTGTAATGCAGCACTGACATGTACACATTGGAGGCTTCATGCACTTTGAATGAGGTGACGTCATGCATTGCGGTTCGGTTGCTTCCTTTGAAAAGCTCATTCATTCATGTGTCAGAGGCGGCACCTGCCTATCAGCTCACGTTCCAGCAAATAGTTAAGGGCAGCTGCCAGTCGATCAATAATCAATAATGCAAATACAGTTGTGTGTGTTCATCTTGTGAACATGATTGACTGAGAAAACTCTCAGGTTCAATGATAGTGAAGATCATAGCAGCAGGCCAAGTCATCCAGGAAAAATATTTAGTTGTGCTTTGTACATTTATTTGCATGTTTTCTGACACACATGATAAAACCATTATTATACAAAGTGGAAGGTGTGGTGTAGAAGAAAAAAACTTGTGCACTTACAATGTTTGTTGATGCAGTCAAATATATTTAGAGTTGAAGGAGGCTGAACTTCCTGATTCAGATAGAAATGGTTTGGTCTCAGAAAAAGGGGGTGTGCTTCACAAGGCTGCAGCTGGACCCTCCTCGTATTACCATGTTGAGTCACTATCCCACCATCTACATCACAAATAGAAGATCATTGTTGGTCTATCTAATTGTCTCCAGGGAGACAGTGGAGCGATTTTATGTGCTTATCAATAAATATTTTTTCAACCCAGGAATAGTGATATTTTTCACAGGTTAAATGTAAAATCTGCAGTAAAGATAAAGCACAGTAAATGTTCTGTGTATATATATTTGTATATAGTATATTACAGTTTTGCCTTCTGGTTGGAGGACGTCCAGTCTACCCCTCAGCCAAAGTTGACCTTGTAGTAATGGCAGTAGTAGTGGTTTACGTCTGTACTGACCTGGAAGAAACAAACACCCTCACTCCTTACTAACCACACTCTTCTCTACCTCCTTCACAGGCTGACGGCTCAGAGGAGCATCGAGGATGCGGAGGAGGTGGAGAGGGAGCGCCGTCGTAGAACCCGAGAGTCTTTGCGAAGGAGCAGCAGTGGTTCAACTCCCGGAGAGTTCTCCCCAGAGAACGAGATGCAGACAGAGGAGAAGATGTAAGTACAGACAGAAAGAGAACAGAAGTCTAAGATCAAGATCTTTTGGTAACTACGGTTATTGACTGGGTTGCTAGGTGAGAACAGGAATATTCCCAAATACACCAGAGAGCGAGGAACACATTTGTTGTACGGTGCCCACATTAAAGTACTGGTTAGGTAGACTGAGCCCAGCAGCTTCCTGTTGGCTCCATGTTGTAGCTCTGTAGCTCTGTCATCACTAATGGTAGAATTTTAGATTTAGAGGGGTTTTTGACAGACTAGAAGATTTTTTGGTGAAAGTCATTGATCTTCTTCTAAGTTTGGCTACAATTGATTTTTTTTGTTTCTTTTAATAAGTAGGTTAGAGAAGATGTGAGTTCATGGGACATTACCACACCCCTCTTTCCAGCCTCAAAGGTCTGGCCCTGGTCTCACCCTAAGATACAGATGCAACCAAACATGGCTGAATTCCTTCTATATGTGATCGTGGGAACTGAGGAAGTTATTAAGAGAACATTATTCACTCACCTCACATCCAATTACTTCCTGTACACGCTGCTAAGTGTGTGATTGTATTTTTTCTGGTGATAAGTGCAAGTTTAAAAGTGTGTCGTCATGTTTCCCAGCTGTGAGACTTAAAGCTGGACATGCTGCAGCCTCAGTTTTCCTCGTGCTGCCGTGACATCACACGGTTTACGGCCTTGTACCTTTGGGACACCTGGTGACATAAAACAAATGTTTCTATTGGGAAATGCAGCAAACAAGTTCTCCCCCTCCTGACTTGTTGATGTGAAGACAAACACACAGCTGCCTTTTTATTACACAACCTCCAAAGAATGTTTACTGCAAAAGCGTCCCAGGAGAGAGAAGTACCACCGTGTCAAGGCTTGTGGCGTCTTAGCTGACATATAATTTGAGCCTGTTGATTACAGCTTGCACCTCTAACACCTTCTCCTCTGTCACCTCACTGCCTCAGCTGAATGCAGTTTTCTGTTTGAGACGCAATAATGCTGTTTAAAAAAAAATTAAAAAATACTTAAACTTGAAAAGTCATACATCAAGGTATGAATATTTATTGCTAGGCACTACATCGCTCCTCTGCCCAAGAGGTTTTTAAAGGTTTTGATTAAATCCATCTGATTCTACATGTGGTCACTGGTTGACCAGGAATATGTTAGTCTGTAATACTGTGATACCTTCTGTCGCACTAATGGTTTTTTAACCGTTTTTGGGCAACAAGGGAGATGTGTAGCAAAAGGAAAAATTATATTAGGCTTGTGTTTATCAGTAGCACATTTAATGTTGGTTCTGATCTTATTATGTGGACAAGTTAAATAATACAGAATATGAGCAGATTTATTTTATTTTATTTATTTTTATCCTTTAAAAATGATGATGTCTTTAAATAACATAAACCCTGCAGTATATAAATTGCTGATTACTGCCCTCTGTTGCTGCAAACAATATGTTTAAACCTACAACATGTGTTCCACAAAACTTGGAAGTCTAGATTTTCCAACCTTCTGCTATAAAAATGATAATGACAGGCCACACAGAGTCAGAGATCCTACTTTTGAACTCTGGCTGAAATCATTGCTTCATGGAGAAGCATTTGTTGATGTCTAACATTTGCTTTAACAGTCAAACAAGCTGCTCTGTTTACGGCACAGTAGTTGATTAACCCACCAACAACAACAAAATACACTAGCTTGTCGCGGTCTGCCAATTTCTTTTTTTTCCTGACATTGTGCACCTTGAATTGTACCTGAATTGTAAAATTCAAATGAAAAATTCAGACAAAAATTGTCTCTATTGTCACACAGCCGACACAGAAACATGACCTCTCGTTATGGCTGATTAGCCTCTGAGAGATCAGGCAGAGACTCCCATCATGCAGCGGGGAACCTGTCGGCTTGCTGGCCGGCCGAGCGTCTTAATCATGTGGGGAATGCTGAGGGAATTCCTTTCTGCCAGCTCCTGGAAACACAAAGCACACTTTGATTACTTTTAATCAGCAGGGGGAGCAGACAGAGACACAGTGCTGATTGTTGGAAAATTGTGGATGATGAGTTCACTTAATTAACCCTTAGTTATCCCTCAGTTAGTATTGAATACTTACATTTTTGTTCAAAGATTTAACACCAGTGTATTCTGTCAGCAGCTGTGTGGCTGTTTGTTGACATGCAGACAGAAGCAGGCAAAAGCCTCCAAAGCCTCCAAATCAATCAAATAGTTTTCTGTCTACACCACAGCACTGTAAATACCGATGCACCCACAATTTCAAATTAAATTACCAGAGCCTGGCCCGACAACGCTTCAAGTATTTCAGGGTCAATGTTGGAGCATCTTTGTTTGGTGGAGCATTGGGTTCTGATCTGGTTATTATTTGGCAAACTGCTGTAATGCATGAAGCCTTTTTCTCTGTCAGCAGGTTTCATTCCAAATGTAGCACATGAAGTTAAATAACTAACCTGTTGAAGTGAATTAATGATTATTTATTCACAGCTTTTATATGAATAAGAGTTGATTTGTTGGAGGAAAGGTTATTAAAAGAGCTTCGGTGAAAGTTCATGTCAGTTATTGCCTGTTTTTATTTCAATTTGTCATATTTTGTTTTTATCAATTCTCCACCTTTGCCAAGACTATTATTAATTTTGGGGTGTTCACATCACATGGAAAAGATGAGACATAAACCTTAAAATGCCCCTGATGAGCTAAAAAATATTGACATTTGTACATAATGAATATTTTCACCAAACATGAATTTCTGCCTCTAGAACAGAAACAAGATATGTAATCAGTATTAATGAATGCAAGGTAATATGAAATTGAATTATTATTAAAATGTACACACACATATGCATATTTTGTTTCGTTAATCAACCAATTAACATTTTTGTTTTAGTAAACGGAGTAGACTCTATTGTAGATGGACCATTACCATCAACAGACATAAACACTTCCCTGCCGCTGGTCTCCATGAACACTAAGCCTCTGTTTACCAAAGCACTGAACCCTTTTACAAAATTCCTTTCATGCCTTTTGACGGACAGAAACTGAAATGTGCTCCTGCAGTGAAATTCAGATCTCCTGTCAGAAGCACAAGCATCACCTCTGACTCAGCTCAGGAATAATGATCCTGTCCCAAAAGCTTTTCTATGATGCATTTAACAATACCGGAAAAGGACAATCCTGGAAAATCTATCATCGTCCAATGGATTCAATCTCTAAAAGCAAAAACAATCAAACACTGTATCATTCCCACATACTGAGGTGAAGGATAGTCTTCAAGTCTAGACACAAATGAGACCATGAGAAGTTCCATTTATTCACATGAAAGTTATTATTTTTCTGACAATAACAATTTATATATTTTTTTATTGTTTTGGTTAAGTAATTGTATTCAGTCCAAGGAAGTGCAATGTCGACTGTAATGTGTCATGGATGATAAGAACATTCTCCCATATATTTCAAATTGTAAATGTTGTAGATTTACTAGTTGACAAAATATCCAAAATCCCTCAAATTTAGTTTCCACCCTTTTTTTTTTTGTCGATTATTTTTCACACTGATCTATAATTTGTTGTTGATGACCTCTGATATTTCTCTATGTTTAAAGTTTTATTTGTGTTATTTTGGTATTTGATTAAGACTTTGGTCCTGTGATGCTAGCTCTGCATCAATGTCATATTTCATAGTTCTGACACACTGTACTGAATTCTCCTAAATGATACACTGTATATAAAAAACTGAGATGGGGTTGCATTTTGGTTTGAAACACCTGCTGCTGTTTCACGTCACTATAACAGGATCAACAAGTTGTGCTAAGTGTCCTTTCCTGTCTCGTCTCTCCTCAGGTATGATAGCGACTTCAAGCCCACCAGCTCTCCTTCTCTGGAGGAGGACGAAGGCTTCAGTGACTGGACTCAGCGAAGAGAGCTGCGGAGGCAGCAGCGCCTGCAGGAGCTCAGCCAGGGAGGCCAGGAGGACGAGGAGGAGAACACGATAAACAAAGCGGCATCCGTAAAGACCGCCAAGGCCTCGGCCACCTCCTCGAGCCGACTCCAGCAGCAGGAGCAGGAAGAGATGGAAAGGGCCAGGATGGAGTTGGAGAGGAGGAAGGAACGTGAGGAGGAGGAGGCTGTTCGAGCTGAGAGGGCAAGGAGGGAGAAAGACAGAGAGGAAGAGGAGAAGAGGAAAAAGGAGGAGGTGATGACCAGGAGAAGGGAGGATGTGCAAAGGCCAAAAACAGAAGTAAGGTTTCCTCCCCAAACAACTGAGCTGTTTTAAGTTTTTCAATCAGTCTAGGAAATCAGACTCATGTTTCAAATCCAAGTTATATTCAAGCTTTTCAGAGCTGAAGGTCCAATTCAAATGTAAAGTAATTTGAGAGAGACCTGTTTTAACCTTTAATGTGCAGGTGGAGAAAAGAAAAGAAGTTAAAGTCTCCTACACATCGAAGGTTTTCCTTCAACAAGAGCCGAAACACAGCAACGCCAATGGAGACGCAACCAATGAGGAAGTGTCACACATCAACAGCAAGACAAAAAGATCCACCAGGTATTAATATTTATTTATTGTTATTGAGTATCTTACTTTGTTTTAAATGGTAAATGATAACCTTTATCATCCAGGATAGGAGAAGATTATGTTTGCACATTCAGTTTTAGCTTTTAGAAAGACCCAAAGTGTCTGAATGAACAGTGTTGGGGACGGTCCAGGTCTAGGGGCATAAATTAAAGTTTTCCACATGTAAAACCTCCCTGTTGTGTGCAGCAGAGCTACAGAGCCGGAGGAGGCGGAGGCCATCCTGGAGACGGAGCAGCGCCTGGAGAAGATCCGACGGAGCCTCCAGGCAAAGGAGAGCCAGGAGCTGGAGCAGCTGAGACACAGACAGACCGAGGCCGAGCAGGAGCTGGAGGAGCTAAAGAGGAGGAGGGAGGAGAGACGCCGAGTCCGGGAAGAAGAGGAGCACCGGAGGCTGGAGGAGGAGCGGCAACGGCTGGCTAAAGAGGAGGTGAGGCTGCCACAGTGAAAGCTTGATATGTGAAAAAGTTGATTTTGCAAAGCCACATCCAATAGTTTTGTTTTAACTGAAAAATAAAACAGACTCATAAGAAATCCTGGCTGCTCAACTGGAGAAAGTAGTGTTTATGAGCCACGGTGGCCTGTTCAAGAGAAATACCCAAATCTTTAGTTTGGAGGAAGGGCTGAAGAGTTTGATAGACTAAAACAAAATCTGGATAGTTCAAAGCTGCTATTAAGAGCACCCAACCCTTACTTTTTGTGTGTGTGTTTACTATTTAGCCTCTTTCATTCATATTTCTGGTTTTATGACAGAAAAGACAAAGTTACTGACCAGTTAGGGAGGGCAGTGGAACATCCAGCAGCTCAACAGGCTTATGTAGAAAATATGGAGCTGAACAGTGTTTGTGCCCTGCCTCCAGGAGGAGCGTAGACGGATGAAGGAAGACATCGAGAGGAGGAGGATGGAGGCAGCAGAGAGGATGAAGAGCCTGAGCACGTCCAGCGTGGACGGGGACGAGATGTTCAGTCCCTTCAGTCCAAAAGCTCCCACACACAAGGTAAACAACACCAAGTGCTTCAACATAAATATTTTCCAGACTTTTATTTTACGACAGCGTTCATATTCACCTTCGATGAGCCACTGTGTTCTGACTGAGTCTGAGCAAGGCAAAAAAGTTCCTGTGATATTTATGTGGTTGGAAACAAAGTGTTGAACATGCAATTCATTTATTTATTTAAAGTGTAATGCTTATCTACAATCCCACATTCTTCAACCAAAATATGGTGGTACTTATTGCGGAACTAGACTGTGGGAACAAGAGAGTATGTTATGCAAACACAGATGTGGTTCACACATGTTGTTCTCTTTGAGCTCTAATTTTCTCCTCAGGGAGATTTAGTGGCCACGACGTGGCAGCGAAGATGATGAATAGCATAACAGAAGTGGTTGCTCGCAGTGTGAACACTAAGAGACAGAATGAAAACTATTGAGGTTAGAAAGAGACGCTAAGGAAGAAGTTTAAACATGAATTCAGTTGCAGCTGCTCTGGTCGAGCTGCAGCTGATAACTTCACCATGTGGATGGGAAGGCAGCAGCAGTCACTTTCGAAAAGAAGGAAAGAGAGAAAGAACGGTTTTATTGTATTTTTTGTGGGGGTGAATTGTCCTTCAATCTTGGTGATCCATTAAGTTACTTCAACCAAATAATATGTTCAAACATCCAATGACAAATACTTGTGTTATCTTCACAGCCGATGGCTTCAGCCTCAGCTTGTAAGTCCCATGAGTGTGTGTGTGTCTGTGATTGTGTTTGATAAGACAGTTTGACATAAATGCACCAAAAAGAGCATGTTGTGTTGTGGTTGTTGTCATATAATTCACTGATGGTTAAAATGTGTATTTGTGAAAAGACTCCACTGTACACAACGGTGTCATGTTCCTGTTGTTTTCTCCAAACTGATTTCTTCTACAAAGCCCTTGAAGCATTTTATTTATCTGGTGGTGCTCAAACGATTTAGGAGTGAAATATTTTTCAGTACTTCAGGGGCTGTGTATGTGGATATCAGTGGTGTTGATGAAAATGTGTGTGTGCATGACACTGCATGTGTGTTCTGCACCTCTGCACCTTCTCTTGGCAGTTTTGCTTTTTTTCTATCTGAACTGAACATTTACAAACTGTGCTATTCAGGAGTTAAAGTGTTATGCCACAGTGGCCTCAAAAAAACATGTTTTTGGATTGGACATGATACCTCAAGTCTGTCTTGAAGAAAAATGAACTAGCCTGAACTAAACTAACTAAAATTAAAGCTAGCCTAAACTAGCCTAACTACATTTTTTGCACTGGGTGGGATACAACCACATCATGATAATTCTAGTACCATATGAAACAGAAATTTACAACCAAAACGCTTCCTTCAGATTCAAACTATGCAAACCAGTGCAACATAACACAAAACGTAAAGTACCAACATAGAGTAACAACATAGAGACGCAGTGATGATGGTACAATTAACAGGGTCAAAGGCACCATTACAAAGTTTGATTATTCATAGCACAGGGGTTTGGTGTGTGTGTGTGTGTGTGTGATGATGCTGGCTTTGATGTTTGACCCCTAAGGTCATAGAAAACACTGATCCTTAACATCCGTCCTCTGCTGACCACAGAGAAAATGAAAAGCAGTGAAATGCAGCGTCTAGACCATGTGATAATCACAGGCTGCTATAAAGAGCGGCTCAACCTAAAGAAGTTAAATATCCTTAGCACTGGAGGGTCCTACACAGCTTCAGGCCAGATTGTGATCGGAAAGATGCAGGGGTCAGGTCACCATGGACATATCATGGGTTCAGGCAGTAATGAAGAGAAATATTCACATCCTTTACTTCAGTGTAATCACACTTAATTCCACTTCAGTTAAAAAAGAGAAAATAATAGATAACTTTACCTCAAGTATTTATTCATCTATTCTTCAGCAGCATTTTACTGCTGGAGCTAGTTTTAAATATTTTTCTGAAAAAATCTTATTTTTAAGTCTAAGTCCAGTAGCTACCGCCCTGTGGAGGTCAGCAGATAAATGTGAGGGCTCGTCAGATGATAAACGGAAGAGGAAAGAAGAATAGACAATGTTATAATGCAAAACATGACAGCCATGCATGTACTTTCATCAAATTGTTTCTATGAAATAATAATGATAATTTTACTGAAGTAATTTCATGAAAGTGTAACATTCAGTCAACATTAAGCCTGACATCACACAAGGAAATTCATTATGATTATAAAAATACACAATACAGATCACTGTCTTGTTTTTCATATGGGTCATAGGGGCTAGAAAGCACATTCCCATCATCCTTTGCTCGTGCCATCAGAGAAGCTGCTCTGATGATTAGTATGGTTTGATTAAGGCCAGCAGTCCTGGCACTGTTTGTATTGGACCGCTCTGAGGTGGTCTGTGGACGACGAAGAGCCGAGCTGCTGTAGACACACTTCAGAATCAAGACAGCGGCAAGGAGAAATCTATTCTCAGAAAAATAACCAACTTCTTAACTCAACTTCTTCTGCTTTTTCAGATCACAGAGAGAACAGAGTCCCTGAACCGCTCACTGAAGAAAAGGTGACTACCCTGATCGAGTTTAAATGTATCAGTAATCATTCTCAAACTGTTCCATCAAACTGACATATTCTGGATGTTTGTGCCTCAGTTTAGAAACATTTTCCTCAAAAATCAGGTCACTATAATTAGTATCTTTGGAAACTTGTCAACTATTTGAAATAAAAAGTGGTTCACACCTGACAGCAAGAGGGTTCCTGCTGTTTTGTCTCTGTGGGCATGATGAGCTGGCGACCTGTCCAGGGTGAAGCCAGCCTGTCTCCCAATCTCAGCTGGGAATGGCTCCAGCTCCCCCACAACCCTTAAAGGATGAGCCATATAGATATCAGATGCATAGATCTGTTCCAAAATGTCCTCCTGGACCAGGAGTTCAAAACTTCCTTCGGCAGAGAAAGTGAAATTTAAGTGTTCGTGCAGAGCAGCTGGTGTGCTGGTTAACCATCCTCTGTACGAAGATAAACACTGATGAAGAGGGTCAGAGGTGACCTCTCCACCTCTCTCATTGCATCACCTTTCTCTGCCATGATTTATGTGTCGGCTAAACTCCGTCCAGATGCAGGAAGCTGTATTTTCTCTGCTGGTGGGTGAAGTATGGCGGCTCCAGGCAGTCTGCAGCAGCTAGTTATCAGCCCTGAGCAGCTCGCGGCAGGAGTGAAACCTCTGTGTGGATACTTTTATCTTAAAAAGTCTGTACCAGGAACAGGGGGAATTTTCAGAAGGGGCATGATGAACCTTTGACTCCAGCAGTGTTAGTGCTTCTGAGCAATGAGCTGAATGATACAAGTTTCTTGGGGCAGTAAGAGCTGCAGACATTGCAGATTGATGGCAGCAGAAACAACCACTTCCAATGCCATCCACTATTGATATGTGACTATAAGGTTCATTGAAGCAGTTGGTGGCTCTGCTTTTAAACCACTGCAGAATAACCCTTGAAACATGGGACCCCCTCATAGTTTTAAACCAGGAAAATGAAAGAATTTAAAATAGGAAAACCATGAATGTAAGAATGTGATAAGAAGCTTGGTGACAGGGAACATTTGTTAATTTGAGGAACAATCTCATCTCATTGATCCACACGTTTTCCTCTGCTGCCATTCTTCTGCTCTCCTGCAGCAAAACCTTCAGTGATATTTGAGTTCAGAAGCTATTCCACCTCCCTTCTGTCATGTCTCTCTCTCTTTTTTAGCTCTGTTTTTGGTCCACCAAAACCCATTTTCCCAGATTGATCAGAAGCTTTGGTGTCATTGCCTGACCCACAAAAAGTTAATTTCTGGCTACTGACCCAAACATTCTGTATTCTATATTTATTTTTCAAAATTCTTGCTAGTGGACAGATTGATTGATTGATGTACAGAAACTTCCCCTCTCATTGCTGTTGGTAAAACTCAAACCTGAGTCACACCTTTCGGTCGTGAAGATGCAGCTCATAAAAACTATTGGAAATGTGTCAATGCAAGCATGTTGGATCAGCAACAGTGCCTCAGACGTGTTGAAGCAAATGAGTCAGTTGATGAATGAGGTTCCTCCCCCAATATGGAGAAATGACCTCATCCAGCGACACAACTGCTATCTGGAGCTGTGAAATAAAAAAAGAAACGTGAGGGAGGAGGGTTTGTTGTTTATGGAAGGTGACTGTGGAGGTTGAGTTTGGACAATGTATAAACGAATGAAACCCTCCTGAATCTGCAGAGAATAAGACAAAACCATCTCAGACAAACCTTCATTATTCACCAACAAACCCAGATTTGAGTCAGCATCAGGACTCCACATGTGCTGGTCTTAAAACTTTTGTGGTTGTGATTGAAGCTTAAATGTATCAAGGAGGCAGAGAGCAACGAATGGAAGCACTGGCTTCCTTTTCTTTCATCACAACATTGTTGTTTTGGAGATGCCTGAAACATAAAGGACAACTGGAATGCCAAAGACCTAAGTCTGAGAGCCACAGAAAGTGATAACAGACCCTGTTTAGTAGAAAGGAAGTTAACTGAGCTTGCAGATCTCTATGTAGTTGGCTCAGCCATTGGACCTACTGCAACAAATCTGCTGTGTGGGTGCACCAGCAGACTGTAAATACATCCGTGAAAAGTTTATCATCCCTGTCAGTCTCTTAACCAGCCCTCTCCATGCACCTGTTCTTCACATGAGCATATTGCATGCATTTTTAGGGTCTGATCACATTTCACCAGACATCTGTGAGAGCAAGGATTATAGGGAATCTATGTGATTCTTTATCATTACATTGTGCAATCATTCAATCAACAATTTACTCATATTGATACATTTCATACATTTCTATTTCTACTTATAAAGATTATTTTTCTTTTTAATTCTCCAGGGGTTTAGAAAGTTTCCAAAGATATCAAATATCTCAGGCTGTATTAAGGGGAAGTGTTATATTACCAATATGTTGTTATTTGATGGAATATATCTTCTCTCAGTTTGGAGAGGAGTTTTGCCACTTCAGAATAATTTAATTTGAGGGGGGTGAGGTTTTCTGAGGGTAAGAAAATCAACAGTAGATGATGACAATCATGACTTATCTGATTTCAGATCTGCGTTTAACTGGTTGCATTTGTTGTTTTGTTTGAATCAGTAACAGCTTTAAGAAGACGCAGCCTCTCATGCTGATGTCCAAGATCGACGACAAGCTAGAGCAGTATGCCCACGCTGTGGAGGTCAGATCACACACACACACACACACACACACACACACACACACACACACACACACACACACACACACACANACACACACACACACACACACACACAAGATGATGATGATCATGGCCATGGACACAGTTTACTTTTTTTTGTCATTCCACTGCTCAGGACTGAAACAAAAGGGAACATTTCCCACAAGACCTTCCATTTACCAGATACCAATCTTTTGACACTAAAAACTAGACAACAGTTGGACTTTGAAACCCATAGCTCTCCTTAGACTTGACCAAATGTCCCAAATGTCCAAAAGTGTCATCACCCCAGCCTCCACAAAGAAAGACACACAGGAGTGCTCACTAACACAGAAGGGCCATTGATGGAGCTGATGAGTATTTTCATCACACCCCCTCCTCCCCACTGCAGGTTGGTTTCTCATCATTCATCAGAAAACAGCCTGACTCATCCAGTGGAGCGGACAGGAACTCAGGACGAGTTCAGGCTTATTGTTGCACCTGATTCACACCTGTTACACATGACATTGTTTTTACCTGAAGTCACACTCAGCACCTCAGAAGGAGGTGTGTATGATGCTGATAGTGTCCCCTAGAGGCTGCACTTAAAATTGCAGGCACGTGAACATGAACGCTTCACCCCATGCAATGCATTGGCACCTATATTATTAGAATATTATTAGTTTTCCATTTTCATTTCTCCATCGACTGCCATGTTAAATTTTTTTTTAAAGATGAAAAACAGAAAAAAAATTCCCCTGGTCTCATTTCTTAACTCTCACCAATAAAAAAACACACATATGTGTACGTCGGCCAAAGTCTTGGGATTCTCACAATGTGTTTATTTGTCAGATAGGACTTACAGATTTTGAGTTAGAAGCATTTGTTTGAGGGGTGGTCTGGAGCTTCTTCATCTCTCTAAAAAGAGGGGGATACGGGTGTTCCTAATCTAATCAGTGAGTATCCATAGCAACCCCATACACACACAGAGGAAGAAAATCCTCTTTGTATTTACTGATTTAAATTTTTCATCATGCTCTGCTTTAGTCCAGCACCTGCATCGTGTGATGTGAGGCTGGGTTCAAGACTGGGTGAGGACAGGAGCTTTTGCTTCACTTTTTGACAATTTAAATAAAAATAAGCCCCCCCCCACACCACCCCCCATAGTACCAGGAAGTCTGTAAAGAGCCTATATTTTGAAAATATACAACATGGTTTCTCTCTGTCTCTCTGAAATTGGTCAAGTCTCTCTGTCACGGACCGGGATCGTGCATGACATTAAAATCAAGCAGCTTTTGGAAATGTCTTTCGCTCTCACCGTCTCTCTCTCTCTCAGGGTCTATCTCCTTCCTCTTAAACTGCTACAGTTTTCTCTCTCTCTCTGTCACCAACCTGGATCATGTTATCAAAACGCAGCTTTTCTAAATGCTGAAAATGTGCCTCTCTGTGTGGAGCGGCAGCAGCGATCGCTCACAAGGCACCCATTCAAAATGTCTCAGCAGAAGAGATTTTCTAGTAATAATAATACAATTCATTTATACAGCGCTTTTCAAAGTACTCAGAGACACTTAACAAACATAAAAATAGAACACACAACATACAGCACACATTAAAAGCAGTTCTGAAACCCTCATGGTTGATGCACTTATTGTAAGTTGCTTTGGATAAAAGCATCAGCTAGATAAAATTAATGTAATGTAATGAAACGGTGAGTTGTGATTTGTGATTTGAACATTGTAAGATTGGTGCAGTCTCTGATGTGTTTGGGGAGAGAGTTCAAGAGGGAGGGGCAGCTGTGGAGAAGGCTCTGTCCCACCAGGTCTGGTGCTTGGTCCTTAGTGGATGAGACAGGAGGTTAGTATCAGTGGAGTGGAGCTGACAGGATGATGTGTGGTGGTGGAGCAGGTCGGTGAGGTAGGAGGGGGCCTGGTTATGGAGGGCTTTATGAGTGAGGAGAAGGACTTTTTATTGGTTACGTTGTGGGATGGGGAGCAAGTGGAGATTCTGGAGAACAGGGGTGATGTGATCAGGGGAGCAAACAAACTTTTAATTCACACCTGAAACATATTGGTTGTTGAAAATAAATGAAATCTATGCAGAAGAACACAGTATTATGCTCTTAACTTTTGTTCCAATCTTGATCTCTGGGTAAAATCAAGTTTTTAAGCACAGTATTATATTTCACCCCAAAAGAGAAATTCTGCAAATCCTATTTAAACTGAGAAATTCTTTCAATGAGTTTACTGTGGAATCCAATGCCTGGGGAGAAATTCCTCTAATGATCTCTGAATTTGGTCTGAGATAAGTCTCCGCATCATCCTGGATGCATTTTCAGTAGTAGGTATGTACGTAACACTTCTCACCCTGGCATGTTTAGTGCTGATAAAAATGACAAAGGTGAAGGAAAATACAGAGCAAAACTGCATGGTAGCAATTGATGCTAGTGATTAGTTCAACTCAAAAAAATGTCCTGGCCACGAGAAGCAATGCTTAAAAATATTGTGTAAGCTATGTGTAGGTCAGAGTGGAAGGAAAGAGCCAAAAATAAATAAATAAATAATCAAATTGTATTTGTAGAGCCCATATCTAAAGATCACAAATTGTCTCATCCTCTGTCCTTGACCCTCAACAAGAGTGAAGAAAAACTACCAAACAACATATTGAAGTAGAAACCTCAGAGGGGGGCCACATTTGAGGGCTCCCTCTGCCAGGATGGATAGAAGTGTAATAGATGTTGTGTGTAGCAGAGCACATCAACAAAATTACAATATTTACAATGTTAATAAGAACAGACATAAATGTTGTTGTGAGTCAATGTTTATTCAAATTGCTACACAGTTACATCCACAATATCATTTCTCATTTATTTACTTCCCCTCACAGAAAACAAGTAAGATAAGTGATGTGGTAAGAATCTGCTTATAAAATAGAAGGGGAAGCTGCCTGTCGCAAAACCTCTTTCTTGTCTTTAAGAGACTTTACATTTTTTATTTATATTTATAATTTATGTGATATAAGAAAAAGCTCTAGCGTCATTCTCGTTTTCTTTTCTGGAATGATTTGGTTTCATGGTTCAATTTGTTCTGTTTTTAAGCTTCTGTTCTGTTTTATCTTAAAAACCTTGAGCTGCATTTCATGCTGTGAAAAGGACCATATGCATTACATGTATTATCATTATTGTTACTATTCACACCAGTTAGATTAACATCACTACTCTTCCTGGCCTGCTGTGATCACCAACTGGTTCCCTCTGCCTCCCTCTTCTCTCTTGCATACTGTATATGAGTGCATGTGCTGTGTTACATTGCACTGCGCTGCACAAGAATCCTCTGTGACAGTCCTGACTCACTGCAGAAAAGCACAGGAGTCAATCAATTCAATGCATTTGTATAGCAACATATAACAACATACATTATGTTTAAGCACTTTGGGGGGGAGGGGGGGACATGACATCACCATGCCATTGATCCTCCATGCCATTGATCCTTTCATGCCCTTGACCATTCATGCCTTTGATARATGATACTTTACCTTTGACATTGTATGGTCATTAGGCTCATTAGCAGAGGCACACAACAAGAGAAGCAGATTTTTTCTTCATTCTGATCCACACATTTTCAGAAAGGAACAAAACCCAGCAACATGCCCTTCCTGACCCTTGGTGTCCTTGTAGGCACCGCAGTGACTAAAACTGTGAAGAGTCTGTTTGACCATTTCCTCCCACCTGGAGAGAGAAATGTAGCAGCACCCATGCTAACCACTGAACTGCCTGAATGGGAAACTAATGTTGAAGAGGCAGAGGCCAGTCCATTGGCCACTGCAGAGTCAGAGCCTGCAGCTGTGTCCCAAGTTGCTACGGCTTTCAATAACGCTGCACGCGCTATGAATAAGGCTGTAGCAGAACTCATAAGGACCTGCCCCGCCTCTATTTTTTCCTGTGATACAGCGCCAATGGAAGAGACCAGTGCTACAGCTGTGTGCAAAGTTTCTGAAGCTGCAGATGCTCTGTATAACTCAGCAGTAGAACTGCACCAGGCCGGTGCTGATGCTGTGCTTGACACTGCAGTGGCTGCCCTCAACGCTACAGCTCTAGAGGATGACTCCAGTGCTTCAGCTGTTCTCAATGTGGCTGTTGATTTGTACAGTGCTGCAGATGCTTTGCTCAAAGTCACAGCATTGGATTGGACCAGTGATACAGCTTTGTGCACCTTTGCTGCAACTTGGTACAATGCTTCAATCGCTTTATACAAAGCTGCAGCAGCACTGCATGAGGCCAGTCGTGCTAAAACTCTGTTTGGTGTAGAACAACCTCTCTTATATGTAATAGAAAGAGCGGATGTGAACAGTGCTGCAGCTTTGTCACCCGTTGCCACAACTGTTTGACGGAGCAGGTGATAGCTTTGGGGTTTTCATCTGTCGATGAGACCAGTCCAGCACAATCCCGGGAGGATGGAAACTGTCAAATTATAAATAAATAAAATTGAACAATATCTGCTTAGTACCTGTTTTCTTGTATATACCAGTATGCCATTGATCCTCTAGTTTATTTCTAGAGTCTAACAGATTATTTGTTTGTGCCGAAGATGGCACAAGAGGAGAGGTTGTAGGGTCAATAACAGAGGGTTCATCCTTTGGGGAGTAGAAAAGGAATCACATTTATTTACCTTTAGAGCAACAGTTTCGAAAAAATGGATAGAATAGATGCAGTAGATTTAAAGTATGGACAGTCAGTGAGACAAAATGATCGATACAAAGATTGGTGTATCTCCAAAAATGGAACTTAACTGTCCACACCCTGTGTTGTCTGCACAGTCAGAAGCTACTCACTTTGAGATGAACCGTGGGACCCCTCATTGTTTTAAACCTGCCGGAGGCAGAAATAGCCCTTTTTTTGTGCTGGAATCAGCACCTGGGCGATGACTTCACAGCTCTGTTTCGTTTCGGCATGTGTCAGGACACATATATGAAGGGAATAACACAATGTTCCGAACTTTGTTTTGTCATGCTTCCGTTGCCTGTTTTTACTCTTCACCTCAGGCAGTTCCCAGGCTGATCAACAGCACAGTTATGACCTCAGGTTCATTTCAGACAAAAAAAAAAAACTGGTATGACATGAAGTGCAGTAAAATCAGACATATCCATGCATGAATCAGTGTTATTTATTTAAGCACTGTTCAAACCCTGTGTGTATGGAGGTCCACGAGTGTCAATAGTATTGTTAAATCATTTAATCAAACAGAAGTATCATTTTTTCTACGGTGTATTTCACACTAATTCTTTTTTGGGTTTTTTTCAACTTCATAGTGGTAGTGACAAAATTAAATCTGTAGTTTATGTTTATTGCATTACACTGCAATGATGTATTCAAACTGATAGATGTTGCAGATGATGCACAATCTAACCTGAAAGTAAAATTGTAATTTTACATTTTTTATTATTTTGGCTCATTAGCCTTATTTTCAAGGAGTTTTATTGCCACAAACTTTAAATTTAGAACATGCATAAGAAAGAGCTTTATAATAAAGTCAAAGTGGAAAACAAACAATTTTTGAAATAAAACCAGGAAACTGATCTTAATTAAATAGAATTTATTCTGTGTTGTTTCATACAAACAGTTGTTTCTGGGACACCACATTAGAACTGTGCTTCCTGAACAGAAAAAAAACACATGCATAAATAGTTGAAATATTCGGATTTCATTCATTTACACAGCACTAATCAAGGTGTATGGTTTTTAGAACTCACAGGAGGCACGAGCAGTGAAGGCATCGCTGACTGACCTGCCCAGCTCACCTGAGGTCGTCTCCTCCAAGAAGAACCTGTTTGAGGCCGGAGAGGCCTGGAGCCAGAGTCCCACCAAGGGAGCAACTTGCAAGGTCAGAAAACCTACAGGGACATGGCTACTTCCTGCTCTCACACAAAATCTTGTGACCTAAATGATAAACCTGGTGCCCCAGTGAGTGAAAGATCCAAATCTGTCATGCTTCAGTGACTCCTAGTGGCGTGAAAAATGCATGCCATCGCACCCAGACAACATGATGAACTGTTGAAAGGTTACTGGAAAATAAATCATAAACTGGCAAAATGTCAATAGGATTTTCCAAAACAGATTATACCATCAAAATAATTTCAAATCTGACAACACACACAGACATCTGACTAAATGTCCATACCTCCTGGGAAAATGTATTAATTTAAGGCCTTTTCAGACTTGAATAATAACATTCAGTGTTATATATGTTAAAAATTGATGAAGAGCCTGTTGCTGTGACACATTTATGAGACACAATTTACCACAAAATGAAAACCACAAAAATGGCTTTAATAAGGCACAAGCATAAAGAATACTTCAGGCAACGTCACAGTGACACCAGTTGCGTATAACAATTAAAACCAAACTCTAACTGAAGCTCACATAGAGATATAAACAAGGAGAATGATCAGAGGTACATGCTGTTGTGACTGTCACTGAACACATTTTCACCAGGATGGGCTCATTTCCCTTCAGAAAAAAAAACTTGTGCCATCAGATATAAAAGTTCTTCACATTTTATGAAATATCTAATTTAGTAAACTTTGAATTCCCTGTCAGGTGTTTCAAATGCATAGTATGTAGTGCTCTGCCACTGGAGGTCGAGCATTAGGTTCTATCAGTGTTCAGTGCTCTCAAGGGTTTTTTTCACCTGAAGCTGAATTGTCCTTAGACATTTCCTCCTCTCCAAAATATTGACCTGCTGAATAATTCCAATAAAAATATTGAATGATGCAGTTTCAGGTTAAAAATCAGTTTCTGTTCACAGGACATCTCTGCGGAGCTGGTTTCTCTGACAACTTAAGTTTTAAGAATGATCTAAAAAGTGCCAAGTTAATTTTTTTTTTTAAATGGATTAAAAATGAAACATTTTACAATTCTTGGAAACATTTAGAATCATGTAGGTACAGGACTGAACAACATCACAGGTCTAGTTTTCAGACATTTTACAGTGGAAAAGTTACAAAGTCTTTCTTCAATCAGCTGTAACAGCTGCAACATAGACGTGAACGCAGTCAACCAGTCTCTGCACAGACAAACCAGTCAGCCTGTGGGGATCGTGTTTGTCAGTTCGGCCGACCTCTGAGCTGCAGCGTCACATGTCTACTTGAAATCCTGGCAGCAGATGTGAGACTCTTATGTGTTAAATATAAATCTGTTTCTATATGACTTCTTTGAGGTAAACAAACAGCAGAGGTGTTAGTGGGGTTAATCAGCTCTGAGCTCAATGTTTTAAGTTGGTTTACAGAGCACGCTGAAAATTTAGGTTAAACAGTTTGAGCTAATTTAACAGTTAAACGTTTCTAGTGACATCAACTTTGTTTTGTTTCTATGAACTAGTTTGTACTAAATCCTTTAGTCTATGTGCGATAATAACAATACAGTTCCTATTGAAGTATCTGGTAGAGTCAACTGAATTTTTGAAAGTTATTTATGAAACTAAATATGTTCAGTTAAATAAAAAGATAAAATGTGTTTTCACCAAAGCATTTACAGGATGAACAAAGCATCTCATTCTTTGTTTTTTCTGCATCAGGACACTGATGGTCTGAAGGTGGGCGTGGCCAACCTGATCACCCAGTGGGTCAAAGGCCCCTCTGATGGCAGCAGACAGTCGTCCAGCAGAGCGTCAGTAAGTCGCAAACACAGCACGGACATGTTTCATCCTATGACATGTCGCTCACTTTCCTCCTTCCCAGTTTATTGGCCCTGTGATAGTGACCTGTCCAGGGTGCAGCCGGCCCTTTAGCTCCACTGAGCTGACCCAAGGAGCTGAGTGTAGAAACTGAGCTGACTGTGATGTGATGTGTGTGATGCTTTGTGGGTTTGTGCTGTGAGGTTTCCCTCTTGTGGAGACACAAGACACATCCGCTGTTGAAACAGCTTCTTTTTTTTTTGCCGTAACCTTTTTCTTAATGTCTTTTTTAAAAACAAATATCTTAATCTTGACTTCCCTTTGATTAGCAGCAAATATCTGTTTCAAATTAGTCTAAAGAATGTCTAGGAATGATTGGGAATGTATTTAGGTCAGAAAATGAACTCTAACAAGTTTGAATTTACATTGTATATGTATCTGGCATGAGGATCTACGACGAAAGTTTAAAGGAAGGTTGTGCTACATGGTTTCTTTTATTTTGTTCACCCGATCTATATCAATGAGGATAGGCTATATAACAGAAACACCTCTCAGTGTAGAGCTACACAGTTCAACAGTACCACAAACTACATCCTGATAAACAGGCAGCAGGACTCAGAATACCAACCTGTTTGATTATTGATTGATTTGTCAGGATGTGAAGCCTGGAGACGTGATGCAGAAGAAGAACATGTGGGAGATCATCGGAGATTCGTCAGAGAGGCCCGGTCAAAGAGCCAATAAGGTGAGCACATTGAATATACTGAACATAAGTCAAACATCTTCTTCTTCACTTGTATTAGTCATTTTCCCTCAGCACTGCCTTAACTAATATTAACTTTGTTTATTATGTGTTTTATCTCTTTTTCTGGTAAATTATGCTCAGATTTTGAGATTGTGAACCAGGAGTTTACTTCATCACAGCAGAAAAAAATCTGATATGACTTAAAGGTTCAGTGTGTAGAATTTAGTGACATCTAGTGGTGAAGTTGCAGCTGAATACCCTTCACCTCACCCTCCCCTTTCAAACATGACAGAGAACCTGTGGTCACCTTCAGTTGTCATAAAAACTTAAAAGGTGCTCAATTTGTCCAGTCTGGGCTAAAGTAAAAAACATGGCCGCCTCCGCAGAGAGGGCCCGCTCCAGATGTGTATATAAAGTATTTAAATATAAAGGGCTCATTCTAGGGTAAAGAAAAATAACAATTTGTATAATTTAGAAGAAACAAACTAGTCAAAACATCACTAGGATTATTTAATA